TGACTGATCAGCTCAATCTGTTTGCTGAAAATCTATGTGGTGGAAAGAAAAGCTTTGTGCGGATTTAGCCGATGAAGACAGAAGGTGTTCCTACTGGTCTGTGCAACACTTTATGTGACTTCATGACTGACAAATTCAGACAGATGTCAGGAAGTGAGGTGAGATCAGTCCAGCTGGATGTTGTCCAGGAACGGAGGTTCATTCTGCGTGACCTGAGGCCCCCAGCAGTCAATCAGAATAGCCTCTGTGCTGCTGCTGCTGCTGCTGAGCTGGACTTCCAGGACCGGGTCCAAACAACCAGCAGCAGCTGCACATTCTCTGACGCCATTAGGAAGGATGACGGGGGGCAACGGGTTCCCTGGGAGCGTTTGCACCTAACTGCAGCTTCCCATCGCAGTTAGCTCGCTGCACTTCCATCGTAGGAACCTTTAATAATAGCGGCCCCTCCCTTCCAGCTCCTTCATCTACATCACCAGCTAAAGCAACCTGAGAATTATTTCATTAAAACCTCAGAAACTCACTATGAACAAATCACACAAATCTAGAGGTTTTAAAAAAAAAAAAACATTTATGCAATTGGGTGAAAATATGAAACAACTGTTACCTCCATCAGGAAGCTTGTGGTTCCTGTGAAAATGTTGAGACATTCTGATTTTATTTTTGGAGACTTCTTTTAGCATCTTGCATTCTGCTTGAACTGAATCTGGAGATGTTGGAAGTTCCAACCAAGGATCTCCGCTTGCAGACCTTGTTTCTAATCTCTAAGGCCTCTTTAAATCCCATCATAAGCATAAAGCTATGTGACTATAAGCTGCTGAGGATCAGAACTCCCACCGCTGACATATCTCACCTTCTACCTGAGAAAACACAAATTGTCAACTTGAAATTCTAAGCTCTAAGAACCTCTGTTAAGGTCTTAGTGGGACTCCTCTATCCTCCATTTGGATCTGTAGTACCATAAATACGGAAGAGGATTAGGGCCACTGAAAAAAAAACAAAGTTAACTGATTTTTAAATTTTATTTCAGTATAGTATGGGAAAAAAGTCAGATTTCTGAG